CGCACCTTCATCTCTGATCTTTTATAGTTTTAGCTGCATAAGAGCTATGTGAACTTTAAATATTCATTATCAACAAAGTTATAAAAGAATTGAATTAAGTGACGAACTTGAAAGCTGCATCTCGCACCACGTAACTCTTCCCACGTAACTAACTAAAATTGCTCTTGACTGTAGACTATTTTCTTATTACCTTTACTTGTGTATTACTTTTTTCTTTTTCCCTCAATTTGCAACATTTGTGTCAATCTAAATATTTTAGTATTAGTTATAAGGAGTTCCAACCCAATTTCAACGTGATGAAAACATTTATTTTTTACTGTTTTCAGTTTTCAGGCAAATTCTTAATTGGACTCATATGCATATATGCACAAAAACATAAGCCATGTGCTAACTTTGTGGTTCTACGTGATAACTTTTAGTAAGCGATGACGAATATTTAACGTGTTGAAAATTATTTGAAAATTTATTACTATGTATTTTTTCAACATTTGACAATTAATTACTACTTTTTTCAAGTTCTGCACAAAATAAAACTGGTAAATGCACTGAAATATTTTCAGAAACTGTAGCTTTAGTTAGTTAAAAGGTTACTTTTACAAAAATATGTTTTAATGAAAATTTTTCTTGTTTTTATAAAAAACATATTAACAATTATTAGTTCGAATATTAATCGTTTTCTTGAGAAGCGAATAGCAGCAAGCAAAAAATTATAATTCGATTAGATATCAAATGTAATCTATGCTTGAAATAATTTCAGCGTTCACATTTTTTGCAAAGCAATGTATAGACCAGAATCATTGCTTTCACACATGTGCAGAACAACACTTTACCTACTGTACAGCTAGCACACATTTTTTTCAGAAAAAAATTAAGCAGAAGCATACTCACAGAAATAAAAGAAATTTTAGACTAAAATAAAAAGGAAAAAATTTCGAATGTAAGAAAAACAGAAATGAAAACAATAACTTTGCTTCCAATAAATGATATTTTTCTAACACATTGCTATAGTTTGTGTAACATTTTGCTGTAAATTTTCATGACAATAATAGTAATTGTGGTAATTGTGATTGCTACTGCAATTTTAAGCATTTAACTGTAATTATACTCAAAATTATTGTACTGTATTTAAGAAAGTAATCAAAGTTGCAATAAAAAATTGCAGAGGCGTGGTTGGAAATGGTAAAAACGATGAACTTATCAACATATTCATACAGCTTTGTCAGTAATAATAACAGTAACAATAATGATAATGATAATGATTAATAGTAATAAATAATAGTAATATTATTATTATTATTCATTACTATTGAAAAAAAATTAATAATAATAATACTATTAATAATAACATATTATTATTATTAATAAACAATGATAATAACAATGATAATGATAATAATAATAATAAACAATAATAATTTATAGTAATAAATAATAAATAATAATAGTTGATAATAGCAATCATATTCACAAAAGTAAGAGTAGTGACCCT